ACCAAGCTCCAATCTCTCTACAGATTCTTTCAAACCATAAACCATCTCTGATTTTTTTTGTGCAACTTTCTGCTGTTTATCTAAACTCAACCATAAGCTTAGTTAGAAGAAATTCAGAGCTATAAGCTTAAGCAAAGAGGTCTTTGCAATATGTTACAATCTACCATGTCTTCTACATTTTATAACACATCGAATTTAACTGGAGAAATAACTCTTCACTGATTGTTAGAAACATAGTCATGGACAGTTATTAGCATTTAAGTTAAAAAGAGCGGTATCGCTTATCAAACGCTCTGTAGCGTGCAGATAGCGAGTTCAAATTCCGCCGTGAGCCTCGATATATCTTCGTGCTATCTTTCAATGAATTGTGCTATCTGTTCTTCTATACGATAAAGACGTATAAGCTGAACTTAAGTAATTGATCACACAAGCCTGCATATGTATGTGTAACAATACAATGAACATTAATGTCTACGGCAAAGAGTCGCCGTAGCCTAGTAGAGCGGTATCACAGTTCCGCCAAATGCTCTATAGTGTAGTGGTAGCGTATTTGAATCCTACCGTAGCCATGGATGTATCTATGTGATGTTCTCTAATTTTGGCTGTCTGTTCTTCAGCGTGATTAAGGCTTATAAGCTGTACTTTCTAATGAGTACACCACAAGTCTGCGTATAACAGTAAATGAAATAAATAAATGATGTCAAAATACTCTTTTCTCAATGAAGGCAAATACTTACAGTTTGAATTATTAAAAGGCAATACTTATTTGTTAATCTAAGAAGAAAGATGATAAACAGTAAACAAAAATAACTACTTGCTGAAATTTTGCTTGAAAAAATTTAAAGATTTTCATTTTTTATACTTAAAATATATTTTCATCATAAACTTATACTTTTCCTAACTTTAATCTCCAAACTCATAATTTTAGGTTGTACTTCTTGAACATTTTTAAATATAATTTCAAGTGGTACTTATTTAATTGATTACTTTTCCTTTTTTCCCCATATTTTTAAATTCGTTGCTGTTTCCTGTATAGGGTAACAAAAGCCACCGACTATTTCATTTTTGGTTCATTTACTTAATTTATTTATTGGTACACATATTTGCAGGTTTGTGTGCCTAATTACATAAGTACGGCTTATAAGCCTTTGTCAAGTAGAAAGAGAGATTGTGCAAGTCAGAGAAGGACAGTACATCCAGGGTTATAGCGGGATTCGAACCGACTACCTCCATGCTACAGAGCATTTGGCGGGCGATAGCACTCAGCCAGGGAGGCCATTACTTAATTGTTCAGTTGAAAATTAATTGATTGAAAGTGTAGTAACTTAGGGACATTTAGAGGTATTTTTTTTATCTCGTTTAAATTGAAATGTGGAATTCTGAATATTTTGCAATATATGTCATCAAAACTACACTGGTGGACAAAATTAAGAGATGGAAAGCATTTTCGCGCAATTCTCTAAAAGTACCACACGAAACCTGGACAGATGATTGCCACATATGGTCACTGTAGAGCTATTGGCCCTGAGATAAATTTACGTATTTTTGTGGGCGTTGCTAAGTCAGCAGAAGGTATAAGAGTCCGCATCGAGCTGTTCATCTCATTCCACTCTTCATCACAGTTGCAGATTTTAGTGCATTTTTTTAATAATCTTGTTGTTTCTTACTGGTTTTTAGGTGAAATGAGTGAACATCATCGCTTAGACGAAGGTATGAGGTGGAGAATTGTGGGTAGACTTGAGACTGGCCAGTCCCAAGCTCAGATTGCTAGGGAATTGGATATAACACCAAGCGTCATTGTCAATTTGTGGAGTCAATTTAAAACCAGTGAGACAGTATGCAGACGACTAGGACAAGGTCGCCCTAGGGCTACAACGGCCAATGAAGACCGGTATTTGTTCCTTTCAGCTAAGCGCCAGAGGACGGCCACAGCCACTCAATTGTCTAGGGGCCTCGCGGCTGCTACAGGAACATCAATTTTGAGTAAGACAGTTTCCAGGAGACTCCATGAAAGAGGGCTGTATGCCAGGAAGCCCGTTATTTGCATCCCACTCACTCCCTCCCACAAAAGAGCGCGCGCAGAATGGTGCAGACAACATCAGAATTGGACACAGCTTCAATGGGCTAATTTTCTCTTCACCGATGAGTCCAGATTCAGTCTACAACTTGATTTTGGACGGTTATTGATATGGAGGGAACCTGGAACCCCATACCATCCCAGCAACATTATCGAAAGGGACCATTATGCTGGTGGAGGACTCATGGTTTGGGCAGGGATCATGCAAGATACCCGCACACAGCTCCATGTGTTTGACAATGGTTCCGTGAATGCCCAGAGGTACAGGCAGGAGGTCCCAGAGCCCTATGTGCGTCTTTTCAGGGGTGCTGTTGGCTCTGAGTTCATTTTTATGGACGACAATGCGCGACCACATAGAGCTCTCATATTTGATGAGTATCTGGAAAGCGAGGATATTCAACGAATGGATTGGCCAGCCGAATCCCCTGGCCTGAATCCTATTTAACATGCTTGGGATGCTCTTGGGAGAGCTATTGCGATGCGCCAACCTCCCCCCAGAACCATTCTGGAGTTAAAAATTGCTCTCTGGTGGAAGAATGGGAGGGTCTTCCACAAGTCCTCCTTAACTCCCTTATTAACAGCATACAGACTCGTTGTGCATGCTGTCTGTCTGCCAGGGATGATCATACACCATACTAGAGGCAACACACACTGTACAAGCCTCACTTTTATTGTCATATTTTATCCTTACGTTCAGATTACATTGGATTTATTAGCAATAGGTCTTGCCAGTGAATGGCACTTTCATTTTTGTTTTGCATACTTTATTATCATGGAATAAGCTATATCCATACCAAATTTCATTTATTTAAAATTTAGTATTTTTTGAGATATTTGGGAAAATGTCTTCCATCTCTTAATTTTGTCCACCAGTGTATTTTTTAATGTCGTAAGGAAAACTTCATTCTAAATGGTAAGAAAATTTTAACACACAAAATTTTGTTTCTGTGTCACAAACTTACCATCTTGGATGGGGTAACTTTGGGACACCTAAATTACAGCCTTAAAGTCGATTAAAACTTTATTCTAGACTATTGTAAATCTTCTAACTATCAAATATAGACACAAAATTTTTAAAATATCTCTTAAAATTTGCAATGTGTAACTTATTTTTAATTTCTTTTAAAAAAAGAAATATTTTTTCCATAGTTATCAGTAATTTTATTAATACTATTTCTATTATAATTAATAATAATAATAATTCTATTATTATCGTGAATTCTATTATTAGTATTATTAATTGCTATAAATTAAAATTTCATCAACATCAAGCAAGTTATTAGAAATTTTGTTTGGAAGTGTATATATATATTTTTTTCATTTGACTTCTCTTGTACAAGACAACACCAGGTGGTTTTTAGATGTACAATATAATGCCCTTTTTAAGCCTTAAAAAAACCGACCTCTTCTTATTTTACAAAACAATTTTTAACATTAAATGTTGTTAATAGTTGATAAAATCACCAACAAATAGGGAAAAAAAAAGAACTGGTTGAGTAAATAAAATTGTTACATACCTTCTAACAAAATGTCCATTCCTCCAAACAATAATTTTTCAAATTTGCACTTTTGATTTAAGAAAAACAGTTATTCATCACTGAAATTACTTTAATTTACAATATCAATGATAGATAAAATTTTGAATAAGTATGATGAAAAAACTTTTTTCAAAATTCAAACTACTTTTTTTTAATTTTATATTTTAGCACAAATATAATTCCAATAATCCAACATATTTTTAAGTAAGGTTGTAGGTTGTTTAGGTTGTTTTTTATAATTAAATACCAAAATATATTTTTGCTTGTAGTTTAGAGAGTCAGGAAGGAAAATATATTAAAGGGACACCTGTGTCCCATCCGCGTCAAACGGTTAACGGTATGTTTTTAAAAGTCTTCATTGTGTGATATTTTTTGCAACATTCTTTAATAAATTAGGTTGACTTTTATTATTCTTAAACAGTATTCTTAAAGAAACCTTTATATAGAAAGAAAATACGTTGAGAGAAAGTGCAAAATTAATTGTATATAAACATATTAAAAATAGTTTTTCAAGGGGTAAACCTATGCAGGGTCATTCATAACTATCTCTATCAATATTTTATCAATATTTCAGGATCAACGAATGTCCGATTTTGTAACCGGTGTATAAGTCGACTGGAACACCGGGATATACTGTATGTCATTCTTCTTTAATATTCACATTTTTGAAAATTTTTCATGCGTGTAAATGTAGAGTGCATATTATTGCATAGATACATGTGTAACTATATTCTTAAGTCTTACAACTATCAAACGTTGAAATAAATGCTTCTAATTTGCAGACGTCATAGATTGAAAAATGGCCTAAGTAATCCCAAATTACGGTAGTATCTATTTTATGTATTTATTTATTTTTTAATTAAACTAACATAGTACATTACCAAACGGTACCATTATCAGCTTCGTGAGATTTATTGCTAATTTATGCTTTTCATGTATTGTCTAATGTAGCATTACCAGAAACTCGCTTTTTTTCTTTTTTTTGAGGCCATAAGTATTTCTTTTAACGCTTCAGAAAAATATAAAATTAGAATCCCGAGTTTTTGACTACTTTTTAAAACAGTTTAATTTTTAGCTCGTTAAAGTTTTTTTTTTTGTAATTAGAAATTAATTCCAAATATTAGTGTTTTTTAAAGTTTTTTAAAGAAGTGTCACAGGAAAAAATCGAAGATATAAGGAAATGCTTGAACGAGTGTCTTTTTTTTTATTATTACTTTGATCATCTTTAGATATCAAGATATCATTTGAAGCATTTTATTTTTTATTGTTGTCTACTGCGGAGAAAGTTCTTACAGTTTGTTTACCTTTGACGTAAAAGACGTGTCTCGCCAATTTGGCGAAAAATGTGATCGCTTGTGAAATAGTAACCCTGAAATTGAGAAAGCTGTGTCAGATGTTGATCACTGCTCAATTGTGAAAGCTTACCCTAAAGTAGTTAAAGTGTGTAGTGCAAGGTGAAACAAGCATTTTCGTAGGAATTTTTTTATTATTTTTTTTGTGGAATAAATTTTTATGAATGATTATTGAAGATTTATAATCTGTGCCTTATTGTAAAGGAGCTGGATTTCCCTCTATTTTTAGTGTTTTAGTGAACAGATGTTTTTGAGAACTTTAACCTAGGATTAAACGAAGCCATTGTAAGTAAGTTACATTGTAGGAATATTTCTTTTAAAAAAATATTTTATTAAATACTTTTACATATTTATGCATGTTATAATTTGTTAAATGATAAATTTATCTGATCGTATATTCCATTTGTTAAGTTAGGTGAATAAACGCTCTCAACATGAATTTTCTTAAATTCCATTTATATATTACTCATGTAAATTCGACAAGCACTATTCATAAATATGTTTAAACAGTTAGGATATATATTTATATTTGTTAATTGTAGAGAATTTTTTTTCAGTCACGACTACATAAAAGTTTTTTCTATTTTAAAATTCTATTTCCTCATCCTAATGTTTAGTTTTAAAATTGTTTCATTCAATAATTAATTAGGTTTCATTACGAAGCATTAATTTTAATCGTAGATCATGCAGTATGGAATTGGAAGAATTTTCTGGGATGCATTTCCTTTCGTTTACGACTACATTAAAACTGCTATATTCTTTTAAGAATTTTAATGTCTGTTTCATCGAGTTTTAAGTAATTTTTTAAAATGCAAAATATATTATCAAAAACATAGTAGTAAAGGCTATTTAGCAAGTTAAAAAAACACTTTTTTCCCCCCGCACGCTTTCTGGTACAATAACCTTAGGGAAATGTTCTTTGTTTCTTGTAGCAAAATATAATTTAATATGTACAAAGAGTTATTCCATCCTTTTATAAAAAAAGTGTTTTCGTGAAATTTGAAAAACCTCAATAATTTTGTAATTGTGGGAGGATATGAGATAATATTTTGTGAATAAAAAACCCACGGAAACAATGTCATTAAAAGAGTAGTAATTAATGACGTCATCGTCTCCGTTTTTCATTGGAAGACTTTTGTAAATGATCCATTTAAAAAAAATACTGTATAGAATCCATTTTTACAACAAAATAATTTGTGAACGGCTAGTTTTTACAATAAATAAATTTGTGAAGTGTCCGTTTACATGATAAAGTAATTTGTGAAGGGTCAGTCTGGTAACAGATTCAAATTTCTCCGATAATAACCTCTAGATTATCAGTATTATTCTAAATATATTGAGTGACAATAAGAGCACTAAGTGCTTCTCTTCATTATTTTAATATAATAAACATATTGCAGTATAAGCACTTCGTAATTCACTGCGAACAATGGAAGCCGTATCCTGCCACTGAAAGTGAATCAACAAGCAATGCTCATTTAACCTTTAGAAAAGTTATATGCTAATTCTTTACTTTTTTCATATGTATTGATGTTATTTTAATTCTAATAAATAATATCTTCGAAGTAATCTATCTAGTTATTTCATTATCAATTTTCCTGGATGAAAAAATTTTATTTCGATGACAGAATTTTGATAAAGGAGTTAACTCCTAAGAAATATTTTTATGATAACAGAAATATTTATGCTTAAAACATGAAAAATGTCATTTAACTAATAGAGTAATTTAACGACGATTTTTCGTACGCTACAAAACTCCCTGCGATATTAACGATTTCCATTGATTTTTATGAAACGCACATTTTTTGCACGACAATGCATATATATTTTTTATTGTTTAATCAAACATAGTTATCTAAGGTCCGTTCAAGCAGTAGGTTAGCACCTAACGGTGGGGGAGAGTTTGGGATTTGCTTGATTGCAGAGGTCAATACCACAGAAAGAAAATACCAGATTTCTAAGGAACATTCTTCTCAAAATTCTATAAAATGAATTGAATTGCAAATTGATTTTCAGAAAGTAAACTCATACATCAGCAACAAAGTTACATATTGCAAAGTTACATATTTAATTATATTTAATCTTAAAATTAGATTACTACTGTTGAAGCAGAGAGCAAGAAGGTGTTACAACTTACTAAAGGGGTTTGCCGCTTCCTTATTTTTGCTAACGTGATAAGGAGAGCCCGAAATTGCAAAAAACGTTTACGCAATATTTAAATGGTCCCCAATACATAAATATTTAGCACTGGACTATCATATCCTCAATAGACGTACCTAAAATGGCCTCTACATTGTTTATTTTCATACTGCCCCTATGGTATAACTCCCATGGCGGTATTTTTTATGCAACTCCTTGCTATGAAGAATCAGAAATCAATAAAATTATTTAAGTGATAATTCATTCAACTAAGGGGCGCGACAGCCTATGGAGGGCCAAGGCATGTGTCCATCCCAGTTTTCTTGACCTTAGGTACAGGGGCAGATGTATGTTCCGGTTAGGTGGAACACAGAGGGCCAAACGTAGGATCACCAGTGTTTAGTTCCCAAGCATTCTTGATATTTATTTTCAGGGGTCTGATTATAAGAAATTTGGGTCCGTTAACGGACCCTTCACAAAATATTATAACTTAAAAACGGATCCTTCACATAATGATTTTTCTTTTAATCGGACCCTTCACAGATTTGTTTATCTTCATTATTGTTTTGTTAATTGAATAAACCTTTCCCAGGGCACAAAACAAGAAAGATGGATGTAAACGAATTTAGTTTTGTCTTCGGCAGACGATTCTTTCATTATTCGTCCGAAATTAATATTCTGCATTCAGCAATATAGGCTAAATACCAAATATTTGTATGTTGCATCTCTAATTTAGAAGCAGCAATTGCTGTTTATTTTTGAAAATTTAATTTTTTTATTAAAATTTTCAGTGCTGAGCATAATCTTTGTATGTATTAACAATTTAAAAACTCCTTGAAAAAGTTTTTTTGCAATAACCGTACCCTATTTGCACAAATTCATAACACAGGACCCTGGTTGAAAGAAAGTTAGTAATTTTTTCACAATTTGTCAAAAAACGGACCTTTCACAAAATGTCTGGACAGACCCCTGATTTTATCATTTAGGCTGAGTCAACCTCGCCCGGCAAGATGATAGAACCCAGAACCTGTGGCTCGAAACGCTACCACTGCGCTACCGGGGGTCTCAAACACTAACTAATTGAACAAATTATTTTCTGTGTATTTTCGTTGAAACTCATTGTTCATTTTTCACTTTAAAATAGAAAACAAAATGTATTGAGCATTATATTTATATATGACTTATCAAATATATACAATTTAATTTACTTTTTCGACTTTTATGAACATCCAGTTCGAGTAATCTTTTCATGAAGAAAAGAAATTTTTTTTTATCACTTCTGATGTTAACAACTTCATTGTTTAGCCTCACCAAACTAATGAAAAAAAATTCAATAAATTGCATCGGTATGACGTTTCACAAACAGAAAATTTTTTTCCCCCCTGTGTTTCGTCATTGTGATGCAATATATCACCTAATTTTTTCTTGCCTTCTAAATAGGCATTTAGTGGTAATGGCTATAGTGCTTGGTCTAAGAAAAGTAATTCTGCTTTGTATCTCTTTTTAATCAAAGCGCAGTATAGGATTTTGAAATGGAGTGGTATTCACAAAGAGCTTGATTAACAACACTAAAAGCATGTTATCAATTTTATTTAGTATTATTTAAACATCTAGGCTAGCACATGAAATATCATATAAATTGTATTATGTTCATTTATTTTCATTCATATAAATTGTATTTTACATAAAACGAGGCTGATTTTGATGGCAATGACCAAAAATAGTTTAATCTAACTCAAAATTGATAAAAGGTTATTAATATAAATGATTCTATTTAAGCTCATAAATTTTGATGATGTTTGATTTAGATGTTTAAAAGTTTGATTTTGAAAAATGTTTTTTGAAATCTTCTCCGATTAGGGTAAAGCGTAGACTAATGTAGGTACATGCATAGAAAACAGCTGTACCTTGTCGTTTTTAAACAATGAATAATAAAAAATAATAAACTCAAAAGCATGCGGGACGGCGAAAGATTACGTCCATTTAGAATTATGTGCGTAATTATGAAATCTGGGCCATGGCCTCATTTTTTTATTTGGCGTTTTTTGAAACTGGCGAAAGCTATCTCTTTACAGATAGAGTTACGAATTTTATTAACGTCTTTTTGAACTTGCGTAACTTTCTCAAAATTGGCAGTCATGGCCATAATTAAATTAATTAGCGTCGCGAGATTGGTCTACTCGATTACAATATTATGTTATGTTTGAAATTTTAACGAATGGTTGTTTGACATTTGTATGACATTTTTTGATAATACATTTTTTGATAATATACTATCAAAAAATTAAAATGATTTTAATAATACTGACTGTAAGAACTCTTAATTTTGCAGGAATTCTCACCTATTTTGTGTCGTTTTTTTTAAAATTTTATTTTGAAACATTCCGTGTATTGCCCAAGAATAATATTATTCAATTAGTCTTGCTTTAACTAATTATTAAGTGAATGCATTTTTCATGAGTGATTTTCACGAAATGTTACTTCAAGCAAAGTTATAATTAATGCCACATTGCCGATTTGGGCTTTAAAACTGACAAATAACTTAAATATTTTAATAGCTATTAAACTTTTTTAAAAGTCGCCAATTTGGCAACATTTTTCCACAGAGATGAAAATTAACAAAATCAATGCTTTATTCTCATTTTTTATTTATTTTTTGCTAACTTTTATGAGCCACAATCCGGCATTGGAGTAAGTTTTTAACACTAGATTGTCTAAGGAAGTCATTTTGACTGCTTTTAATTTCAATTAGAAAAACAATGATGTATATGATGACACAATTTCTTAGAATTTTGTACAGCATATACTTTTACTAATATATATATACTAATAACTTCTTTATAATAACTATTATAAAAATATTTACTAATAACTTGTTATATAACTGTAAATAATATAAAAAACATAAAAAAATAGTTTTAAATAAATTTCTTAACGCATTATTTATTCTTTTACTATCCAGTCATTTTGACTGCTTTTGGACAATATAGGTATATTCTAAGTTTCAGTCTTTCTAGTGTTAAATATTGAGAAATTGTCTCGAAACTGTGGCTTTTCTCCACACTGTCGTTTATCCATTTTTAGAATAACCGTAAGAAGGTGCTGGCTAAAGATATGCTAAACATAGTAACTCACAGCAGTTATGAAAAT